AAAAAAAAAAAACACAGATAAACATCTATAAAAAAAAAATGTTGCGAAAAAATATCAAACAAAATAAAAGAAAACCCCCCTCCCCTCCCAAAAAAAAATTGCAGAAAAATGCCAACAACAAACTCACATTTTTTATGATGGTGAATTAAAATCCGAACACTCTGAAGAATCGTCGTAATCAGTTTCATCTTCCTCAAACTTTGGCGATTTTGGTTTGCAGAACTGCAACGGAACAGCTTCTGGTATCGGTGGTAAATGAAAGAAATCCATTGTCAGGTGATCGAAACTTCCGCCAAGCCTTCTTTCACCATGTAAAACTATAAAAGAAAAAAAAAACAACTTATAGTTTTCTTTTTTACCTTATGTTCCCCTTCCCTCCGCTCTTTTTCCTCCAAATCTTACTTTAAACATAATACTTTACAGAATGAAAATTAATACAAATTCGTTATAAGAAATTTCAGCAAAACTAACTTTAGCACAAGTTATAGGGTTTTAAAACCTATTAAAGCCATGAGCATATTTTTGCAAAACAAGTTGAACTTCCTCATTTAAAATGCCATCATAGATTTTGCTAATTTATTCAGCTAAAAATCTACCCTACAGCTCTTAAAGCAAAAAAAAGCTAAGGAAAACAACAACAACAACAACAACAAGTGTCAAGGAAATTACATGAAGATCTTTTGCGGTTGAACATCGTCGACTCATTGAAACCACGCTCGATACGGGCATGAGATTTGACAAAACGTCTTGTGAAACTAGAGTTGACGAAGTGATGAACGACAAATGATGATGTTGGACTACGTGGAGTTCGGTACCAAATTCGATCTTCCAATGGAATTGCATACGGTGAGCGGTCTTCAAAGTTAGCAGAAGATGACGAACAACTATTCAGTTCAGAAGACTGAAAATTGATAAACATTCTTATTTACCGATCATAACTCCCACAGCCTGCATAGAGTAAATATACGAAAAATGTTACGCAAAAACTTGCAATTTTGTTTACTGTTTATAAGGCTCTACAGATGTGAAAGAAACAAATAAATCAAAAACAGTAAAGTGTTTTCATAACTAATTTTGCAGCAATTAGATAATCAAACATTTTATTCAAGTGTCTCACCTCTTCGTCAACTTCTGAAATTTCTTCTACCAAGTCACCTAGAATTTTAAAACGTTCTTCAAAACGACCATGGCCAACTCGTTTGTACTTCTGTGGATAATGTTCCTCGTAAGCATGAAGTCGACGTGGCGGTAAAGCAACAGCATCGGTAAGCGTCGCCATTATTAATTTTACTATTATTGAGCAGAAGGAAATGAAAGTTTTTTGGTGATGATAATGTTGATAGTCAGAGTTTCTGTTGCAGTCAATTATACACTCATATTCCACCAGAAACAAACAGGTAACTCTGAAACAAATGATTAACATTAGGAATTCTTTTTTGATTTTGTTGTTGTGATAAAATACCGTTCGATTGAAAAAAAAAAGAAAGCCCTAATATGTTTACAAAAGAAAAAGATAATGGAAAGAAAAATAAATTTAAAAAAAAAATTTTTTTTTTTTTTGTTTTAGAATTGTAAAAATTGTATCACCTTTAGATTAAATAAAAATAAATGAGATAAATCTTCTGAACCAACATCGTTCGACAAACAGTGTCGAACGAGCGTAAATGTTCCTGCCGCACTCAGCCTCGTTTTCAGACTCACTATTTGCTCAGAATAGAAAATATTGGATAGGTTATATTTTGTTGAATT